TGAGGAATGATGTGAAATATCTTTCAGTTTTCGCGTGATCATGTAGTATTGGAAACTTGACACAATTCATTGTTAAAATAAAGGCTAAAAAGATAATTAAAATTTTACAATTAACCATTCACTTATTAGTATAAAAGGAAAAAAACAGAAAGAGCAGCTAAAGTAGACTGAATTATATATTCGAAAAAGAGATCATATTACAGAAGGTGAAATTATTTATATATTTTAAACAAAATAAGAGAAAACCTTTGTATAAATTGTCTTAATATAAACCGCTACCCTGACTAAACTACTAGGACAATTTTTCCCGGATTGCTGCCACTCCCTTTATTTTCGAGGGCAAATATCCGAATCAGTTGGAAAAGCAAAAGTGTGTTTATTCGAAGAAAGCACACATTTTTGTGCCTGATTTTGTAACTTAAAACATCATCATCACTAATTACTTTGCATATTTATGGTCACCACCTCGAATTATTATGTACTAGAGCGTGAAGATTCAGTCTTTAGATCAAAAGTCTTTCTGGGAGGTCTGTTATTTTTATTTCACACACTGTATGCTATTAGAATGCTTTGCCATATGCGAAATATTCTAAAAGAATACATGGACTAGCCAAAAAAGGAGTTGTTATCTGATAATCTATCATCAAAATTTCATTGCGAAAATTTGAAAACACCGTGAAAAAAATTAAAAAAGGTAACCTTAATTCTAACAGGGAGATTGAAATGGTCTATTAACCTCCCACTTACAATTTAACTTTGTAAATTCTATTTATGAGTCTATTTGCAAGTAACATTTGAAACACTTTCCTAGTTTGTACAAATAACCTCATTTACCATATCAAACCTCTCCATAGCGAGTACAAATACATTTCACCCCGATTCGTCCCTTTTTGCAGTTGTGGTTTTTATTGTTCTGTTTTTCATCTTTTTTCTCTTTCGACTACTAGTTTTGTCGGCTGATAGTTTTGTTTCACTTCTTTTTTTCTTCCCGTTTTTGTTGGTAACTATTCGTTTCATATTTCAAATCACTTTTCTTTTTTCTAATCACATGTGGCAAGTCTGCAAAATGGACACCTGTTTTTGAGCGTTTGAAGCATTCCCAGTCTTATTTCCTATTTATATATATTTGAAGGGAAAGAAGTTTTTAATTAGGTAAAACCTCGTAATAAATTTTTAATAAGAAATATAATTTAATCAATTACTACTAACTTTTTTATGAACATTCTGTCTAAAAAATATTTAATTAGAAAAACAATTTATGATAATATACAACTGAAACAAATATTAAACTTTTGATGCACTTTTACATTACTTTCTAGTTGCAAAAATTTCTGATTTTCATCCGTATTCTGCAATATCCCAAAAATATTGAAATATTATTTAAAATATTACTAAAACTTTTCTCTAAAAAATATGCTTGCTTGTTTTTTTAAATTTTGCGACATTAAACATAAAAAAATGCAATTTAAAGACAATTAAGGCATAATCTATAAAAACGAATACTAAAATGCTTACTTTTTTTAAAAAAATCCACGAAAACATTTGCATGCTTATGATATTTTAAATGAAATATGTCACAAGTTCGGCATGTTCTGATTTCTCTCTTATTTACTAATCTCACTATTTTTCGCACACTCGGATTTATAATAGAGAATAAATATAGATAACTAGGAGGCTCCGCCCCCTGCTCACTAACGCTCGCCAACCCCCGAGAATTGCTACGCAATCTTATGTGGTTGACGGCGTGAACCATGGCTCGCTGCGCTCGCTCGCCAATGAACACAATGTTCTAGCACAAAGACATAATATATTATCATCTAAGACATAGTATTTTATCAAAGACATAGTATTGTACTTATGTAGAAGAATTCTATCAATGTTCTTATTGGCTTTTAAAAAAAGTATATTAGCTATTTAGATTGTACATGGTGTAAAAATCAAAACATTAGCTAAATAAGAAACATATTAGCAAAATAAATTATCAAATATTGCTTCACTAATATTCTGCATTTTAAATTCAATGCGTAAATAAACGCGAAATATGAAAAAAATTCAATGCATTCAATACAAACACTTAAACGTTTTTTAGACGTTTGGGTAGCTCCCAGTAGAAAAATATCAATTCAACAGCGGCCTTTTAAAGCATTCTCACTTCAATTCCTAATTGAGTTTAAATTAAATATTGTCATGTTTTTAGTGCATGAATCTGAATTGAACAACCTGATAATGCTCACTCTGGTTATTGTTATCTGGTTGCTCACTACGTGCTCTTGCGCGCCGAATCCAATCAATTAAAAATGAAAACTGTTGCCAGCGCGAGAAAAGAAATATCATCGGTTTTATTGATACATACATACATACATACGTACGTATAAGCGTTTTATATAATATAGATTTTTCAACTATTATCAATTGTAGATTATACTGATATACTAATAACTGATATCAACTGATATACTTATAATCAATAATGATAACATTGATATCATGATTTTGATTGTTCATACTGGTAGATTTTTTATTGACTTATTTTAATCATTTACGTTGATTATATAATATTGATTGATTAACTTACTTAATGCTTAATTATTTTATCTAATGTTATTGTAATGAACTGAAAAAATTCTAAATTAAAGATAAATGTATTTTTTTTATGAAATACCAAAAAAAAAAATTTCTTAGAAATTGACTAAAAAAATTGTGAAAAAGGATTAAAACAAAGACAAAATAAAACGTTTAAAAAAGAAGCAAAAAATGAAAAAAAAAAGTTTTTAAATAAATCCAGCAACCTAAGTAAGAAGCAAAACGTAATAGTTAAATGTCAAAGCCTTGTTGCTTTAATTGGTACTTCATCGAAAAAATGTAAACTTGCAAGAAGATATTAATGCTAATTCTCTAAACGAAGGCGTAATCCATAGAGAGAATTTTTGCCGAAGAATTGTTTGCTTTTAATTATAAATTTTAACATCTTTTTTAGATAAAGAACAAAAAACAAAGTGTTTGCTAAACATTTTTTCGAAACACTTACGCGTTTACACATGATAATCAGCTTTTGAAGTCAAACAAAAACTATACTTTTACGCAATACTATTAATTAGCTTCCTGACAAGTTAGCTATATTGTAAAACAGTGATTTTCAGCATTAAATTTCTCCATTTAGTTAGATATGATAGTGTCGAGATTTAAAAACTAAAGGAAAGAGCGACAAACGATCGGTTATTATTTCTCTAACTATAAATGCAGTTTAAAGTTAATATAGCTTCAAGAAATATATTTTAATACATAATGTAATATTCGGCGTGATTTTTTCCTTCTATAATTTAAATTTTTTCTTAAAACTTGAGACATATTTCGTCAAGAAAAAAAACAGAATCTAACAATAGAAAGGTGAAGAAATATAAATAAGTTTAAAGTCAGTTTCAAATAGTATTATTCTAAGAATTTTACCAACTGTTTTTTTAATCTTTTTATTATATTTGATAGTAAATATTTACTATAAAGTATGGAATGTGTTTATAACTCCATCCTAAGACGCAGACTGACTTTAGAATCTTTCCCAAAAATTAATACTATGTAATGTGGTGCCTGGGTCGATTTATCCTAAAGGGAGATTCGATAGAAGATTCGATCCCCCCCCCCGCGTTACCTTTCAAATCTCCACATACACTTGTCCCGCATTGGACTGATCGTAAAGACATGTTTCCCAGTAGAACAACAAAGTTAAGCATCACTGTCTACGGTCAGTAAGCGGGTGGGAGACCACTTGGATCAGCCTGCGTAGGGACCGATGGAGTGCGGTATTGGTCCTCGTTAAGCTGTTCTACCGTAAAGTGCTTGACTTCGCACGCAGGCCTTCGGGTTACCAAAGCAGGGAAGCTATCCCCTCCGCAGAGGATCAAAATTGCGATGGCATGTCTTCGGATCATCTTCAGGGATGTTTCCCAGACCGTTGCCAATACCCCATAGCTCAGCTCTAGTGCGACGTAAATAAAGTACCTGCCTACCGTATACACTTTCAAGTAATTCCTAATATTAATGTTTATTTTTCTTCCCTTTTTTAAAAAACAAAACAGAGCCATTTATTATTTTTAAAGTTACGGTTTTTCTTACTAATTAGTTCGAGTGTTTCTGAAACTAATGTATTTTAAAGTGAAATATAATTTCCCGGGTTGCACCCTTCCAGCATTTTCTGCTCTGATGTTTTTTTTAAAGTAGAGGTTATATAACTAATACTGAATTAAATAATACTGTCTAGAGTTTCTTATTTTGATAGTATTTAATTTTAAAGGTAATTGCCAGGGTACGATTTCTCAGAATTCCTTGCACTAATAATTTATGTTTTGTAATTTCATTAATTTTTTAAATAAAGAAAGATATTTTTCTTTGGTCGTTAAGTCAATGATATTTTAAGGTAGAAGAAAAACTAATGCGGTATTTTTTTCACTGTAGTGAACACCCGCAAAAACTAATGTATTACAATCTTTAAGTTGCCCCATCCAGGAAAGGGTGGAATTCAATGAGATCCACTTTAGCTTCGGTATAAATCGTCTCTGGAATCTATTGGCCAATAGCTAAATTGAAGGCCCCTTGAACAGCCAAAGGAGATAAAATAAAAATTATAAATATTAAAATCTTAAATATTTAGTTGATTTTTACTAAATAGGCACCATTTTGACCATATCATTTAAAAAAACCTTCTAAGCAAAAATGTCCCTTTGTTGTTATAAAAATAAATCATAAACATGCATACTGAATGAAAAATATCAGTCAAGCTATGACACCGAATCAAATAATGAAGTAAGCGGATTTTATTTACACGAGGTCTTTTTGTATGTGTTACATTTTATTCACAAAATTTTTTTTTAATTTCCAAAGGCAGAAATTGACAAACTCTTAACAAGAAGAATAAACATAGATAAGAGAAAAAAAAGTCAATGACTCATTAGCAGATGCCTAGCACTCCAATATCTGCTCACTTCGGAGTCTCCGCGTACAGCCGATCATCCCATCAAGTGCTTCCTATGCATTACTTCGAATTTCCTACAGGGTGAGCGAGTCGGACTCGTAAAAATACCAATGCGGTGGAGGTCGTGCGCAAGAATGTCATGACCCACCGCAAGTCTAAATTCTGCCACAGCCTTTTCACCGGGTCTGTTTGTAATTCCCCGATCTAAAAAGTTCCCCCAACTTTTCAGGGATATACGGGAAGAAAGGGACACTTTCCAATTTTTCCACATTGAATTTTTGATGTAGATTTTCGTAGAATGAAAGGATCTATTGGAATTTGGTTGTTGGATTATTTTTGTGCCTTGTTTTGCCAACATATCAGCTTGTTCGTTGCCATAGATATCGCAATGTCCTGGGATCCATTGTAGAATAACTTGACGACCATCGATTTTCAGTTTCTCCAAGAGGGCCAGACAGTCTTGTATATTCTTTGATATGGGCATTTCCTTAGATGCAATAGCCTGTATGGCAGCTTTGGAGTAAAAAGAAATAACAACCTTTTTGTAGAGGTGTCTTGGAATGAGCTGCGTCAGTTATTCACAACATAATTATATTCATTCTAATTTCACATTTTTCCGTAAGAGGTCTCATTGTTTTTCTAACTTATTCATTGCTGCTTTGTCATTTTTATATTTGTTCATACATTACGCATGGGAGTTTTCTTTCCTGCTAAATGTAATTTTTCATGGATTGTGAATATTTTCATGCCGCTGATTTCTAGGCTGCAATCGGTTTATCTCTCCCATCTATAATTTTTAAATGACATTCCAATCTACTTTTCTTATCGAAATGTACAAGTTTTAATACATTATACGCAACATGGGATCACGTAAATGCAGCTACAAATTTCTAGAGGAATTTGAGCAAATTATCAGGATTAAAATTACATAGAAGCTCATGCCAAGAGGTGTTGTAATTCACCACTTGGTGCGCTTCCTTATGTTGAACTAATTCTTCATTTACTTCTGAAAACTTTATAATAAGAAAACACCCCTAGACGCGTACAATGGTGGTGGGCATGTGTTCCTGTGCAGCTTTAATCCTGATGTGCTCTAACTTTTCTAAACTGCTGTAACAAAATTTTCGTTATCCCCTGTTATATTGTTACATAAAAAAATTTCTTGATTTAAGAACAAAACTAGTTTCAAATTTGAAATCCTCACACCCGGATTAAATGAGATCTAGTTTTTGTATAAATGCAAGAAAAAACTTTCCCCCTGTGTTATTTTTGAATTCTTACAGCAAAAATAAAAATTTTATAAGTTGATTTACGTACTAATAACTTAATATATTCATATCCTAATTTATTTAGGAGAATGTTGCGTAATAAATTAGTTAGATAATCAATCGTATCAATTTTATTTGTTACATACTGTAACACATTTAAAACTGAAATAGGATGCATTTAACTATTGTATCAAACATTGGAAAAAATAAGATAATCATATGCAAGTAAAGTCACAGCAAAAATTCTCTTGACTGAAATTGAACCAAGTAACAGATCCTCTATCAATGCTTTTATTGTAAGAACTGAAAAACTGTAACTGTAAGAACTGTTACTTTAACAGATTATTACAAGTTTCTAATTCATGAATGGAGCATTATGCTTTAAAATATCTATAGTAACCATAATTGTCCAAATGCTAATTTATGCTTTTCATTAGAATATTTTAAATCTTAAAAATATTCAGAACAGCTGTAACTGATATGCTCTTTTTCTAAATTGCAAGGAAAACACAATTCTACGTTCAATATTTTTCATTGCTTAAAATATGATCAAGTAACAGATCCTTTATCAATGCCTTCATTGTCTGAATTGTAAAGGAGACATACCAATAGCCAACAAAATGGTAATTTAAGCCTTTTCATCAAAACCCTTCAAATAATAAAAAATATAAAATTTCTAACAACTTTAACAAATACGTTCCTCTTGTGAAATGTTTTGAAATAAACAATTTCTAATGAAAATCATAAAATAATAATGAAAAATTATTGATTGAAAGGGAGCGAGGCTAGCCTTTATCAATGCTTTAATTTTTTGAATTGTAATAGACTCTTACCAAATATATACATAAATTATAAAAGCATGAAACAAGATGAAATAAAACGTGAAATAATACTTTGGCAAAATGAAAATTTAAGGTATTTCGTACAGTTTAAGGAAAATAAAATGTATGGACGGTATGTATGGAGCCAAAAAAATAAACATATTCAAAAAATGACTTTCACCTAATTAACTTTTTTAGACAAATTTTTGAATTAACTATATTCTAAACGTACAGATTCCAATATAAATTCACAATATCTGCCCGGATTAGTAAGAAGAGGTATGCGTATGCAAATTTTTTTTCCACGTCTGTTCATCACGTGATAGCGCTGATAAGAGCTTTAAAGGTTTTGACGCGTGTGGAGAGTTGTTGTTTCAAGTCAAAGTTTTACAGGAAAAATTTAGTTGACGAACTTGAAATTTTCGGCATGTCTTCCCGATATCACTTAGATGATTTTAAGCGTGGCCGAATTATTGGAAAGATCGAAGAAGGGCGGAAAATAACAGACGTTGCCAGGGACTTCGACGTCGCTCACAGCGTTGTTTCACGGCTAAGGAAATCATTTAAAACTACTGGAATGTGTAGTAGGCGGCACGGGGGAGGTCGTGTTAGAAGTACGACGCCTGCAGAAGACAGATACCTCGTCCTATCAGCAAAAAGGAACAGGCACAACACAGCTCAGCAGGTGGCAAATCAGTTTCTTGCTGCCACAGGAAAGCAGATCTCCCGAAAAACTGTTGCCAGACGTTTGAGGGGAGGAGAACTATACCCCCGCAGACCTGGTGTGTGTCCCATTGACCAGACAGCACCGTACTGTCCGTTTGCAATGGTGTCGTGAGCATCACAATTGGACTGAACAGGACTGGGCATGAGTACTATTCTCAGATGAGAGTAGCTTCAGTCTGTCATCGGATTGTAGACGCCAACTGATCTGGCGCGAGAGTGGTACTGGTTATCGTCCAGAAAATATCCAGGAAAGGGACCGATATCCGAAATGCAGTGCCATGGTGTGGGCCGACATCATGATCAATGGCCGCACGCGCCTACATGTGGCTGCGAATGGGACTATGACGGTCCAACGATACATTGATGAAGTTCTACTTCCTCACGTTCGTCTTTTCTGTGGTGCTGTCGGTGATAAATTTGTTTTTATGGATGACAACGCTACATGTCATCGAACACTCGCTGTTCAGGATTGTCTAGACAGCGAGGGTATTCAACGCCTCTTATGGCCATCACGTTCTCCAGATCTAAATCCCTTTGAAAATGTTTGGGATGCTTTGGGAAGGCAATTTGCTGGTCGAAACTATCATCCGATAAACAAGAACACCCTCATCCGTGCACTGACAGAGGAATGGGATAAATTGCCTCAACAGCTGCTGGATAATGTTGTGCAAAGTATAATACGACGTGTAGAATGTTGCATCACACTCCACGGTGGACATATCACGTACTGACACCTTTCTTCAAGTTGCCTGCTGCCATTTAGATGCATTGTTCCATTTTTCCGTACGCAGCATCAAATGAACATTTTTTTTTTCTTTCAGATGTTTCATAGCTTTTGTACTTTCCAGAACAATGAATATTCTTTAATCTAATGTCTGAACAGTGTGGCAACTATATTTTATTCTACTAGGCCTCATGTCTCGCTTAATGTTATGCTACATTGCAATTTGTGATCCGTCCTTAGCAATTGTCCAGCAGTGTAGTATGCATAATGGATTATTTCACAATTATCCAAATTCTCTATCTTTGGAAATCACGAAAAAAATATTTGCTTTTCTGTCAAATCATACGCATATAATCATAGTGGAGTGACGCAAATAAAGCTTAATTAAGTGTTTTTTCTCCAAAATGTGTTCTTATATTATTACCTAATGTCACAATGTCAGCATATATTTTTATTTTTTTATTAAATAAACATCAATTTTATGGAGAGAAGGGATTGTCGAAAATTGCTAAAAAGTGATTTTTAACTTCTTGTAATCTAGAAACTTATTATATTTTTACATATTATATTTTTTTAAATCTGTGAAAAAAATGAAGTAATTAATTATTTTACCACGCTTGCCTCTCTTTTAATTTTTGTCCATTTCATTGGCGAATTTACTTTTATCACTTAATAATTTTTTATATTATTATTAATTACTTTCATTTTCATTTGAAATTAGCAATTCATAGAGCATTAATTCACATAATACAAACAAAATGAGTTGATAGAAATAGAGGAACATTAATACTCATGAAAAAAAGAGCCTGATAAAAATAGTGGAGCGTTAAGCACGTACTAAAAACAAAGGAGTTTATTATATATAAAGGAAAATTAATTGACGTAGGCAAAAAGTTTGATAAAAAATATAGGAATTTGATAAAAATAAACGAGCATTAATAAACATACAGAGAATAAAAGAGGTTGTTAGAAATAAGGAAACATGGATGCGCATTAAACAAAAGAGATTGATAAAAATGGTGGAACATTAGCAGACTTAATAAATACAAATGAGTTAAATACATAAAAAGGAATGTTAATGCACATAAACAACGTCCGTGAGAAAGGGAGTTCAAATCCATCAGGCCGAAGACTCCCCACGTAGTAATTGGTGACTGATGCAAGCTAAATCTGCCGGGTCACAAAGTCCTCCATGTTCCCATAACAAATTTTACTTCTGTTGGTATTGATCGATCGTTCTCTGGTTCAGGTCAGAATTACGATCTGTGGAAGAAGGAATGGATGTATGAATGGATCCCCCTATAAACGGGTGTGACGTATGGGTGTGGCAGAAATCAAATTCTTGGTCATAGATGGCGACACATGAAAACTAAAAGAATCTCGCTACTTTCCATAATGATCTACGAACGAAACCTATACACATAAGCAAAAGAGATTGATGAAAATAAGGGAGATTAATAGAAATAAAGGTAAACATAATCAAAATAAAGGAGGTTGATAAAAAAAGAACATTTATACAGATAAAACAAAGGAGGTTGATAAAAATAATAGAGCCTTAGTACACACAATTAGACCAGGGGAGTGTAATAAATCTAAAGGAACATTAACATATAAAAGAGATTTATAAAAATAATGGGAATTAATACACACAATTAAAACAAATAAGATTGACAGAAATAAAGGAGCGTTAGAAAACAAAGAAAACACATTAAACAACAAAAATTTGAGCTTCCTATATGTTACTCAAAGTAAACATAGAATTAAACTTTTTTTTTCTACATAGGTTGTGGCAGATAGCACAATAGAGAAGGTACAGAAAGTAAGTTTTCTGGGATTTGAAAATTGCTGATGTGAAAAAACAACATGCTGTTCAATTTAATATCATGTTGCAATCTGTTGTTCATGAACTAAGTAAATAGTTAAAAATAAAATATATAGGGTTTGTCAAAACTCCAATTATATTATTTACAAATAAAATGTCTCTCTGAGGCCTAAGATTAATTTTAAAAACTTAAATCAAAGATGAATCTTGTACTTGTTTGATTTATATAAAATTAGAAACGAATATATCTAGAAAAGAAAGGCAATTGAATAACAGTAATTTAAAATAAATTCATAGTAATTTATCAACTACTTTACAAGTAAACATCAGATATAAAATTTTTAAGAATTTAAATCACAACTTGTCTCATTGTTAAGAGTTATTTTATATGTTTTACTAATGCATTATATAAAATAGGACCTTATGATATCAGTATATGAACTTTTTAGTATTGTTACCATTGAAATTTTAAAATATTTGTCTCGCTTTTAGAGCTAATGACGAACACTATGAATTTTGAGGAAAATGAATGTGTTAGTTAAAATTATTTTGTTATCCTCCGATTTTAAATCAAAGAATGATTATTCTTTTATAATATGTATTATACCTGCATAAAAAATAAATTAGTTTTAAGTTTTTTTTATCATGATCGTAATGATTACAATACAATATATGCCTGAATTACTTTTTTCATTTATAATTAAAAATAAAACTAGTTTCTTGGGCCGAGATAGCCTGGTTGGTAGGACACTGGACTCATGTTCGTCAGAACGGGAGTTCAAATCCAGCCGCCAAAAACTCCTTGCAGAAAATGGTGACTGTTCGCGAAATCTGTCGGGTCACAAAGTCCTCCATGTTCCTATGACAAATTATACCTCTAGGGGCACTGAACTGGAGATTGATCGCTTTCTGCTTCCGGTCAAAATCACGATCTGTGGAGGAATGAATGGATGCATGAATGGGTTCGACCTAAAAACGGGTGTGGCAGAAGTCAATTTCTTGGCCATAGATGGCGCAAATGGAAAACAAAAACAATCGCCTTAATGGCTGACGACAACAACAACAACAAACTAGTTTCAAGAAAACTCGAAAAATGAAACCAATCTTTCTTATAGTGGTATTTCTATGAAAAGGAATTTATTTTAATTATCGCTAAATGGGATAAATTTGCCCATTCTTTAAATAAATACTCTGGTAGTAAATGTCAAAAGATTAAAACGTTGAATGAAATGTTTGCAAATTTGAGCCAAAAGTGTTTCCAGTGAGAGATAGTTTATCAGTGCGAGAAAAATTAATTTTTAAACTGATGGTTGAAAAATGGATTTAAGAACCTTAATAATTTTGATCCGAAAAGATCGTAATAGTTCATAAATGTATGTACTTTCTAATTGTTTTACGTATAACAACCATTGGATAGATATGATTGTGCAATTTGTACTCTTTAATTTTTATGTAATTTTTTTTCCTGTAGTGTCACAAAGTTTCAAAGTCAAAAAGATTAGTATGGGATACAGAGTCGAGCAGTTAGGGAGAAGATTTTAGTGATGATTTAATCATTTCTGATAAAATATGAATTTGTGAGCAGGTTTCTTCGTTATTGTGAAAGGTTGTAAGAAATAAGACCTTTGAGACATTTCCTAGTAAAAATTTTAAACAATCAAGAAGATTAAAATTTGGAATTAAGAGTGTGTACAATAGAGAGTCTGTACAAAATTAAGAGTGGAATTAGAGAGTGTACAAAAAGAGAGTATGCAGTATTCACTTTCCCTGCGCTGTGCGTGAATCATGCACATGTTTTCACAGTGTAGTTCTTAAAGTTACATCAAACATCTGATTAAATTTGTCTTCCAAGTATTTTGACTTTCACTGAAAGACCGGCACCCTGAGTGTTGGTTCTTAAAACCATATTTTATGCCTTCACAGCGTAGTTCTTAAAGTTACATCAAACATCTGATTAACTTTGTCTTCCAAGTATTTTGACTTTCACTGAAAGACCGGCACCCTGAGTGTCAGTTCTTAAAAGCATAATTTATGCTTTCACAGC